TTTGTTAATTGTAAAATTTTTGTTTATTAGAATGTAAAATGTGTCATGAATTTTTAATTGTGGACGTAACATGTGTAAAATGTTGCTATGATCAGTTTCATCAAAAATGTTTAAATAAATGGTTTACAACAAAAGGATATAATTGTCCTAATTGCAATAAACATTTAAAAACGGGTAAATACTTACTAATTATTATTAAGTACACGAAATTGAAACAAACCCCTCTTCATCCTAAACGTCGTATATTTGCAGGCGTTTTGTTGAAATGAGCATCGGCAATAACCCGATTTCAAATTAAGTGTTGTGAATACTTTCGCCCTCCTTTATACTTCTAATCATATTTAAATTAGGCATGGGATATGCGTTTGATACGGTCACTTCGTTAAGTAGTATCTGTTGTCGATACCTGTGTTAACGCACTATCTCATCTGTTGCGTGAAATATTGAACACACCCTATATTGGTTCGTAGAAAAATTTTCAACGGCCTCCCAAATTATGAATAACTTTCCTAAAAAATCTATTAACACGGATACTTTAGGTACTTTTCGTCATTCGATTCAGCCTCCTACAATTCGAGTGATCGCTTATCTAACTTAGCGCATGGTAAATTAAGTATCCAAGGACCCCCAATTGATTAGACTATATTTTAAATATTCAAAAACCCATTTAAGTCCCATAAATTAAAGTTTAATTTTATTTTGTAATTTATTTTATATATTTGAACTATTCATGTGACTAATAAAAAAAGATTTAATGAAAATGTAATATATAATATTTAAATGAAATAAATGTTGGTATTTTTTTGCAGGTCTTGGCAGTAAGTTTCTAATTTTTTATTTACTTATATTTCTTGTTTAAACTCATAATAAAAAACCCAGCACAGTGGGGATGTTGCATAGTTGGGTCCAGTATAGATTTAATCTGACAGTGATTAAAATCACTATCATAAGAAACGCTTCGATGCAAATCAGTAGATAGTGTTTAATTCTAAGAAATTGGTGGATAATTACAAAAGCTACATTATCTGCTAGTTTCTTATTAATACCCTGATTAAGATAAAGTATGTCGAATGAAAAAGGGATTATTAAAAAATATTATTTCTCATAAAAAAATTGTGTTGATTCGTACACTTTTCAATGAGTTATAGCATTATAAAGTTAAAAATGTAACCAACCCAACCCAACATCAACTCCTATTTCCTTAATTATATCCAGATTAGTAATTATTTTAATTATATATTATATAATTTTTATAATTAATTATTTTCAAATTATTATTGATTTTTAATATGTTAAAAGTAATCATTTTGAACCTACTTCTTTTTGTTCTTTAAAGTGAAAGTTTTAATAAAAAAAAAATGAATTTATTACCATAACTTTTAACTCAACTTGCAAGTTTGAAATAAATATTATTAAATAGAAAAAAATGAAATTGGTAGATTATTTCAAAAACAACAATAACACTTATTCCCTTAATTTTACCCCGATTTATAACTATAATATATGAATACATAATAATTACAGTAATTAAATTGAGTATGAAAGTGGTATTCAATAATATAATATTGTAATTTTTACGGAGATATTATAAAAATAAAAAGGAGTTGTATATTCATATACTTTTAATGCGTATACAAATTTAAAGGAATTTATGCAATACTTTTTAATAAAAAAATTTTGTTACTTATGAATAAATACACTAAACAAAAGGAACTTTCATCAGAAAAAAAATATACTTTTCTAAATAAACTTTTCGTGATGTTTTCAAATGTGCAATTAAACTTTTTCTATTACTTCTAAGTTTTAATATTATTACTTATTATTAAAAAATAAGTATTTACATATAAAAAAAAATAATTAAGAACAAAAAAAATTGTATTAAATTAATACTGATTTTGATTTTTAATATGTTAAAGGTAATCATTTTGAACCTATTTTTTATTGTCTTTTAAAGTGAAAGTTTTAATGAAAAATACCTTCTCAGCTTCGCATCGAAGCTAAAAAATGAATTTGTTACCATAACTTATAGTTCAACTTGCAAGTTTGAAATTGACATTATTAAATTGAAAAAAATGAAATTTTTAAGATTAATATGCAATCTGGAAATTTTATAATTACTAATTACAGTACATTTGTCAGAAAAATTCGATTTTTTTACATTTTTATCGTAATAGATAACTGAAATAGAAAGAATAGTAATCATATCCTAATAACTTTTGGTGTTTAAAAAAATTCTGCAATTGAAATATTCAGAACTTAATTAATTTTAATAATTTACTTTAATTAAATGAACCAATCAAACCAAAGTAGTTAAAAAGATTTACTCAATTGAGCATATTATCAAAAATATAATTATAATTGTAAAACTCCATCGTTAACTTCAGGTGAAACTAAAAATCATTTTTTTTTTAAATTTATGATTTATATAGCAAAATATTACTAAAAAATTTGGCATATTATAGACTGGTAGTAGCACACAGAAATAGAGTTAAAAAATTAATAAATTATAAAGTAAAATTATTTACTTTTGTAGTTGAATACTTTTATCATATCAAATTTAATTCGACAATAAATAATTTAAGAATATTAAAAATTAATGATTTTAATTGTTTGTATGGACAAATCTAGTTAAGCTACTTTTTATTTGAATAAGGAATATTTTTTTGATTTTTAAGAGTAATAACTTAAACTAATCATTAACTTAAATATCATAAACTTAAATGAATCATTTGACGTATCGTTGAAAAAAGTAGGTCTAGTGAGGGTTGGCAAAATAAATCGTAGCCAGAAAAAGAACCACATAGTAAAATAATATTAACATGAATATCAATTTCTTCTCACGAGGGGAGACTATAGTGATAAGATCCTTTATATTTATTGAAATTATTGAATCTAAATGAGATAAATATCAAATGATTTGAAAATTCTATTCTAACTCAAAAAAAAAATGCAAAATTTTAGAAGCCACAAACGGATTTGAACCTCGTACCCTAGGTGTTAAAGATCAAGGTGTTACCCATTCGGCAACTATTCGTTGATTTTTGTTGCATGATAAAATTGGCTATTTAAGCTAACTCAAATTTAAAAATTACTTTTTCGACTTTAAAAAAGTAAAAAATGTTAATAAGTATAATATCATATGTCTTATGAACTTTATTCTATGTCAATGAAATTATATAATATTCATGAAAGTCAGTTTATTCCCCTAATAAAATATTTTAAAATAAAATAAAATACAAAACCTAGAATTTTAATAAAAAATAGCATATTTTTAAATACGGTAGCCTTTTGCGCATAGAAGATAGGTCGTCGGGACAAATTTTTTTTTTTCATTTAGTAGTACATAAAATAAGCTTTAATTTGATATATGTTTAAAGGACGCAGTATTTCCGGAACATTTTCAAAAATTAAGTTGAAAAAGTTAGTTTTTGTAAAAAAGTTGCTATTTTAAATCCCCCCTGTGAGCAGAATAAGTGTTAGATTTTCAAAAAAAAATGATATCAAATGAAAGAAAATTACCTAAGGTTTCAATATAAAGAAATATTATTTTGATTAGTTAATATTTGAAAAAGTTATGGCAGTTTTAAGTACAAAAAACATCGTTATAAAAGGTGATTTTTATCGCAAATATTACATTTTTTTTATAATTTCGACAGCCATTTGCACATAGAAGATAAGGTGTCGGGACAAATTTTTTTTTTTCATTTTATAGTACATAAAAAAAGCTTTAATTTGATATATGTTTAAAGGACGCAGTATTTCCGGAACATTTTCAAAAGTTCAGTTGAAAAAGTTCTATTTTTTATACAATGTTTCAAAGTTTGAACCCCCCCTATATAAGGGGAAATTGTCTAATTTTAATAAAAAGTATGTCAAATGGAAGATGTACTTATAATGTATTTAGAAAAAAAAAAATTGTGCTGATACATGCATTTTTCGAAAAGTTATAGCATTTTTAAGTTGAAAATTAAAAATCGAAAATCGAAAATTTTAACACAAAAATAGTGTTTTTTTAACTACGGCAACCGTTTACATGCAGAAGATAAAGTGTCGGGACAAATTTTTTTTTTTCATTTTATAGTACATAAAATAAGCTTTAATTTGATATATGTTTAAAGGACGCAGTATTTCCGGAACATTTTCAAAAATTAAGTTGAAAAAATTAATTTTTGTAAAAAAGTTGCCATTTTAAATCCCCCCCACTGAGCAGGTTAAGTGATAGATTTTCAAAAAAATGATATCAAATGAAAGGTAAATATCTAAGGTTTTAGTATAAAAAAAAATTNTTTAAATCCCCCCCCATGAGCAGGTTAAGTGTTAAATTTTCAAAAAAATTATATCAAATGAAAGGAAAATATCTAAGGTTTTAGTTTAAAAAAAAATTATGTTGATTTGTTGATTTTTGAAAAAGTTATGGAAGTTTTAAGAAAAAAAAGTGAAAAAAATGACAAAATTTGTCGATTTTTAAATTTGTAATTTTTTTGGATATTTCCCCCATTTGCGGGGAACGAGGGAAAATTTTAAAATTTTTAAGGGTAATGTCTTCAACTAGATACAATTTGTGATCTTTTGACGTATTGTTAAAAGAAATCGGTCCAGTGAGAGCTGAGAAAAAGTAGTGACAGACAAAAAAAAAAAAAAAAAATGAACACATCATGGTAAAATTAATACCTTCTCAGCTTCGCATCGAAGCTAAAATGATAGAAGATTACAATGTCATCAGTTAAATACCATGATTACTGACTTTATTTCTGTTGAGCTACTTTTGAAATAGTTTTTTGAATGATTTCAGTAGCTTTGAATGACTTCAAAAAACAAAAATCTTAGTGAGATGATTGTACAGCATTAATTAGTGTTTTTATATTAAAGAACCCAATGCTTAACATATGTAGTTACAAATAATATTTTATAAAAAACTAAGAAGATATATTTTCAAGGAATATGTTGTACTGGGTTATATCCACTTGTTGTTATGAAAATAAGAGTATTTTCAATCATTTTTTGCTTCAACTCATTTAAGTTTAGTTTAATCGAACAAAAATACTTTTGTAAAGAAATATAATTAGGATGTAGTACAATTTTTTTCACTCGTTTTCGATGAAATCTGGCAGAACTATGGGCGTCGTACAACATCATCTTTTCTTTTTACATTGACTTCCGGTGAGCATGATAAGTTGGGAACGGCTTATATGAAATTGGAAATAATTTAAAAAGATTTTGATAAGAAAATTCAAAACGGACTTAGTGAACGAAGGAATCACCAATCCTTTGATTTCCATAAAAGTTGTGCATGTTTTTTTCCAAAAAATGGATTTTTAAGCTATGAAAAATTCAGATATTCCTCCACAAAAAATACTTAATTAAGTCTGAATTCAATTCCCTGCGTTTACAAAGTAGCTATTAAAGTAATTATGTATGATCGCGTGAAATTTATAACCGATCGGATTAACGGTCTTCAAGAAAATGTGCTCACCGTAACAGCACATTTCAAAAAACATTTCGAGATAATCGAGTTTAAAATTACGGGTATAAGTTTAACGTAGCGATCATGAATTACGTAAAACTTACATAGATTCATCAATTTTGGGACCATCTTTGGGATCATTGTGTCTTCTGAATCTTTCTCAGCCTCTAGTACTTTGTCTTGATGTTGCTTTCGAGCTAGTCTCCCCTCTTTGGTCGCTTCTGAAGTGCGGGAGATCGGAAATCGACACACGTTTCTCCTCTTCTTTTGCGACATATTTATGGATGTTGGAGCTGCAGGGTATTCCTAGTGTTTCAAAAATCTTCAATATTGCAGAATTACACTCATTAAAGATGAATGCAAAAGTGTGAGCTGCAATTTCGACCCGATAAAGACCTCCGGGAAGATATTTAGGGCTAATTTTCCAAATTAGCTGATTGTATCTCTAATTGTTATTTTGTGTAAATCTGCCGACACATCTTTCAAGTAGTTCCATTTTCAAGAGATCTTCTTAAATACCTTTAAATACAATTTCCGGAAAAGTAACTATGAACAAACCCAATTAAATTTTCTTTTTTGACTTGTCAGACAACTCTGCAAGAGCTTTTTGCCACTCACATCATGAGTCCTTTCCAGATGGGTGTTTGTCTTGTTTTTGTCAGTTGAGCTGTAATGGTAATACATGGTCCAAATACTGTTAGCCATTTTTTCAGCCGAATCAGAATTACGACGGATCGCTAAACCATAGTAAACATTTAATTTGTCAACCATTTTATCAGTCAACTTTCCTTTACCTCCTAGACCTTTGTGTTTCTTTTTAAACTCTCGTAAGCGAGTGCCCATTCTTTTTTTTTTTAACTTCCAGTCCGTCATACAGCACTAATTTCCTGATGGCAGTGTACGTTTTCGAATCCCCATCTCCAATATAATTAACGTATTATACACAATGCAAATTACCAGAATATTCAAATATTTCAATCATAGCGTCTACTTTTATTTTACCAAACGATCCTGAATAATTTGCTGTGCACGCAGGTTCATGAGCTACTCTTCGAACTCTGCTATTCCTTTCTTATTTTAAATCCCTATTTGACACAATTTACAGTAAACACTCTTCACCACTTAATAAACAATCTTGCAAGTATAATAATCGATTAGAGAAGCAACCCCGTATAATGATGTAAATGTAAAACGTTGTTTTCATGTACCATCTCCAGATAATGTGAGATATTTTTATTACGTCCATCAGTCTTCGCGATCTCTTCACAAACAGTAAGTTTCATAAATTCATCAAACACATGTTTCACAGAAGTAAAAATTTGTTTCAATAAAATTTCAAAGGTAGTTTGGAATAATAAAGGTGGCATATCCATTAGCCCACAAAATCTTGCACATCCTGCTGCTCCTAAACCAAGCGGTTTCATTGTAAATATGAAGCACCTATTTATTTCGTATGAATAGTGAATGGTTGAGCATGAACTTTACAATTTACATATTGCGAAAAAGTTGCAAAAACCTAAACAAATCATAATAAAAATTATAGCCAAGCCGTAGCCCACAAATGAGTATTCACCCATGGCTTGATTGCTAGGCGAAAAGTTTAATTTAAGCAGACATAAAAATTTTAATCGCACAAAAACAAATGACATGTAATTGACTGAAGACAGAGATATTCGATAACAGAACAAAAAAAATTTGAATTAAACGGCCAGACCACTCGACGGCATCGACATATACTGAATAGGTGGCACGATGGCCTGGAATTCTAAGTGTATTTATATGTGCAGTCTACTTTCCTGTAGTAATACGTATGTCACCATGTCAAAGTTTTAAACCTAGTTGGCGGTACAATGATTTTGTGGAATAGGATCACGTATATGTGATACTATCACGAGTATACTTTAAATTTTTTCATAAAAAGATATTTCCAAGTGACAAAAACAATTCTTTAAATAAGACGAAAGAAGCTTTGTTTTAATGAATAAATTGTGAAATTTACTATTTTAAGAATATTTTATTTGTTATCGATAAAACAAACGCCCTATATACAGGATGTTTAATTATTTTCTGATATCTAATAACTTTTGATACAGCGAAATTTTTGCGTTTTTTAAATAATTATTACTTTTTGATCTACATTAAAAATATATTCTATACAGAATTCCTATTTATGACTAAGTATAGAAAGAGTCAATATCATATACTTTACGAGATCATTTGGTCAATTAAAATTGTTTAGGGTAATTTTTTATGGTATTAATATTGATAAGTTTCGTAAGAAATGTGGCATAAATTCTTCTAGCAACAAATCATTAATCTAATTATTATAGCTAGCAAAATGTTTGGGAACCTTTAATTAGTCTTATCAATTCTTAAAATATGATATATATGATACAATACAATATTTTATATTATAACTAAATTCAAAAACTAGTGAAAATAACTAATGAACTAAAAAATTCAAATAATAGAGTAAATAAAATAATTGTATAATTTGTGTAACATTTTCGTATTTTAGAATGTAAAATATGTAATACATATTTAAGTGAAGATGTAACTGAAGTTAAGTGTTGCAATACAGAGTTACACCAGAAATGTTTAAATTGTCGTTTAACTTTTTCGATTATGTGTCCTGAATGTAAAGGAGATTTAATATCGGGTGAGTATTTTATAATTATATTCAAATTTAGTGTATGCACTTTAATATATAACTACTTTAATTTCGATGTGTAAACGAAAAGCTCTTGATTTTATTATGATTTTTTTATATCGCTTAACAGAAATACTTTCCTTCCTACTGTACCAATTAAGGTGTGTAATTTTAAAATACTGAAACAATAATACTTTTAACGGTGTTAAAATTGTATAAGGTTTTCAAAGCCGTGGAGTATTGAGACCGAGTTGGTACGGTAGACAAAATGGAAAAATAATAAATTTTATAATTATTTATTTTAATAATAAAGTTGCTATCTATTATATTTAAATATATATTTACACCTAAAAATTATTTCACAACTTAAATGAGTTAATATTTAATAATATAAAAGATCAAATTTGACCCTATGAACTATATATGTTAGTATAGTTCATAGGTACACAACTTTTCCAAAAAGCTTAGATAAACAAGGTAAGAGCAATATTGGCCTATAATATGTTACCTGCCCTGGTTTGGGAAACATTATGACTTAAGCTTTTTTCCAAAGTTTTAAAACGTATTCAGTTTATCTACCTTATCTTTAGATGAAGGGGGGAAATCAGGCATTTATAAAATACAATGTGTGAAAGTTGTAATAAATGTTACGTAGGACAAACAAAAAGAAATATAGGGGTTATGTTTAAAGAGCACTTAAGAAATATTAAAAATCAAGAAGTTGAGAAATCTCCAGTGGCTGAACATTTATTGATACATAATCACTCTATTAAAACCATAAAACTAATTAAAAACGTAAATAATTACAAAGAACTTAATATCAGAGAAGCAATAGAAATGTTTAAAAATAAAAACAATTTAATTAATTGGGATCTTGACCCTCTGAAAAATTCATCATTAAACTTGTGTAAACGGGCAAAATGTGATAATATTACTTAGTGATGACGTCACTGGGTGATAAGGTCACTAGGGTTATATAAGGGAGTTTTTTCTAGTCGGGGTGTCAGTATGTGTTTAGCGTTGATAATGGTAACATTTTTTCCGAAATACATATCCGCAACTTTTCATTAATTTTTTGTGGCTTTGAGTTTAATATTTTTAATATTTTTTAGTTTTTTAAATTAATAATATTTTTAATATAGTTTTAATTTTACTTGATTAATTAGCCACAAGTGATCAATTTTTATTATTTAGTAAATCAAAGTTTCAATGACGATTTATTTACTTTGGAAGAAAAAATAGTTAATAAATTGACTTGGTATTTAATATATTTAATATATCACCTTTATTAAATTTAAGAAAATTAAATTCTACTCATATTCCCAATAAAATGTATATAAAAGTCGAAGAAGTATCTTTTAATTTATGTGCTGAGTTAGAACCTATTTCTAAATTTGCAAAAAGCTCTAAAAATGTTCAAACTTCTAATTTATCGGAATATGATGAATTTATTAACAAATTGAAAGAAAATATAATTGTTTTATTTAAAAGAAGATAAAGTAAAGATTATAAGTTTATTACCCAATTCATGGTCACAAGATAAAATCTGTAGAGAGTAGGATCTGCCTTGGTAAAAAAGATTATATTAATATTAAAATAAATGGTTCAAGTGTGCAATATCAAAAAGGTTATTACTTAGCAATTTAAATAAATTATATGTGATATTTAAATTAGCGAATCCAAATTTGAAAATTGATAGATCTAAATTTTGTGCACTTAAACCTTAGTAATGTTAGTGGCTGGATCTTCGGTCACACATAATGTATGTGTTTGTGTTTATCGTCAAAATGTAAAGCTTATGGTTTAAGGAGCTGGATTAAAAGCAGGTGTTAAATACTATCTAAATTATTTAGTTTGTAGTATTGAAAAGTATAATTTTATGATGGGAAAATGCGTTATTTGTATGAAGGGACAGTAAAAAAAAATTTTTTTTGATGAATTAGATGATGGTGAACTAACATTTTATCTGTAGACAATTTTATTGATTTATTAAGTGAAAAATTGTGTACTTCAAAGGAAAAAGTCTTAAAAAAAATTATCTACTACAGATTGCATAGTTCTAGCCGATTTTTTAGAGAATTATAGATTTGTTATACAGGATGAAATACAAAGTTATTATTGAGTTAATAAATAGGCTACCCTCCAACATTTCATATATTACTACAAAGATCATGATAAAATTGAATGTAAATGCTTACGTATTATAAGTGACGACTTATAACGTAATATGATGGCAGTTTACGCGTTTCAAAAATATTTGATAGATGAATTATAGAACAATATGTCCTTTGACCAAAAAAAATTATATATTTTAGTAACGATGCGGCATAAAAATTTTAAACTATCAAAGAGAAGATGTTGGAATTGATGCTGAGTGGAATTTTATTGCATTCTGTCACGGAAAAAATGCAAATTATGGTGTTGGTGGCACAGCAAAAAGACAAGTTACTAATCATAGTTTACAGAGTATACGTGAAAATCAAATATTAACTCCAGAAATAATGCACAATTTTGAAATTACATAGAACAGTCTTCTTTTTTTCTAAAGGTTAAGCCTTGTCATGACTATATCCTGGGGAAATTAAGTGCAGTGGTTTCCCGTTGCCTTCTGCACTGGGAACATCCGTTCACCTATGGCGGTATGCGCGGCTTAAAACTAGAGTTTTGTCAACAACTAGTGTGATCATCGCGCCACACCAACTACACCATAGAACATTACCTTTGAAAAAAAAAAATTGATAAAGTGTTATAAAACATAATCTTCCGCTCAATATCAAGTTATGAAATATTCAGAATAAAATGTATATATTCTATGAAATTGTACGTTATTGAACTTTTATATTATAAATACTTAAATATTTAAATTATATAATTATTTATAAATTTTCATTTAACATCAAAATAAAAATTTTTTAAATATACAATTAGAAAATAAAATTTAAGCATTAAGTTTTTGCAATAATTTACAACATCTTCTTCTTCTTCCTCGTCTTAATCCCAACTACTTGGGATCAGCCACCCTTATCCTAAACTTCCATTTGACACGATCTCCCATATCATATACGCTCACATTAGCTGTCCTCATTTCGCATTCAATAGCATCCCTCCATCTCTTTTTTGGTCTTCCTCTACCTATTCTTCCTTCAACATTCATTTCTATAACTGTTCTTACAGCTTCCGATTGTTCTCTTCTCATAAAATGACAAACCATCTAAGTCTATTTCCTCTCATCTTGTGCACGATAGACGCTTCACCTATACTCCCTCTTATATGCTCATATTTTATTCTCTCTTATCGCTTTATCTAGTGCTCAGCGTCAAAAATAATGAGCTGTTGACATCGCCGTGTCAAAAAAATGTTCATTCATGCAATTCTACACGATAAAAAAATAAATATAACAAAAAATTGTTAACGGTCCACCTTCGAATTTGTGATGTTACAGGTTCATGCATTTAAAAAATTCGACTTTAATCTAGTTGAATCAAACATATCCGAAATTCAAAAAAATCCTCAATTTAAGAAATTTATAAAAAAACCTCAAAATTACAATAACGTAAAGATGGCATTTTCCACATTTTTTTTCTGAATTTTAAAATTGCTATAACTTTTTTTTTTTTTAATATTAATCATAATGAAATTTTAATAAAATGTAAAAGAAACCTTATTTTCATTTAAACAAATAATTTAACAACTATTAATTATTTGATTTAAATTTTATTTTATTTTTAAAAAGTATTCCTACTCTTTAGAGTATTCATGCACTCAAAAAGTATTCACAAATTAAAAATATTATCATCCATTTGTTAAAAATAAATTTTTATTATTTGAAGTATTTTATATTTTTGAGTTATTGATGTATGACTAATAATAAATGCTGTATTTATTTTTAATATTTAATACCTCAATTAAAGAATTTGTTTTGCATTTTTTCAGATTATGACAGTAAGTTGCTAATTTTGTTTTATTTACTATGTTGTTAAAAATACTTACATTTTATAAGTAACCAGTATTTTAAAGTTACATATAATGTTCATTAACATCAGATTGATTTGTCTTCTTCCGTTCAATCATTTCAGCTTTCCAGTCCCTGACTATATTAAAACTTTTTAAGAGAAAAAAAATACTTTTATTTAGGCCTTGGATCTACCATTTTGTGGGAGTAGTACAGTTAAAAATAGAGATCTCTCTAAAGAACTTTACCACTCTTTGCTTAGAATTAATAGTTAACCCAAAATAAGAGATTAGTAACCAATATTATCACAACTATTTTAATCGTGATATAGGTTTCATCCTTTTTAAAGATTTTACTCCTGTGGCTCATGCCCATGATAAATGTTGTAAAGCGCTAAAGCAATTGTCAAATTTTTTCTCTTAAAACCCTTTACTGCTCCCTTGTATGTCCTATCCTTGAATATGGAAGTGATTTTTGAGATCTATTATCTGTTGTCTCTAATTCTACGATTAAGCGTGTATAAAGAAAATTTTTGTGTTTATGTTCTTCAAGATTTAATGTTCATGTCCCCTACAATAATTATGCTCCTGTCATTTTGGAACATGGTATCACAATTTTAGTTTATCATAGACACATTAATAATATTAGTTTGCTATCTGGCTTTCATTTTGCCAACGTAGTTTCACCTACATTATTATCCGCCATTAATTTAAAAACGCCACTAAAAATTTTTCATTCCTATATATCTTTCTTTATTCTTCACTGCTCAATATTGCGATTGCTTAATTCTCCTATATAATACAAAATTACTGCCAATTTTATCGAGATGAACTTAAAAAGTTATGAGTAGCATAATACAAGATTATAATTTAAAATTAAATTTTTATTTTCCTAAAAAGTAATTGGAATCGATAAATCATTTTTTAGAAAAGAATCAAAAAATGAATATTTACTTTGGAAATTATTTTTTGTGAAAGTGATGTTATGTATGTTAGGGATTTTAGTGAAGATTTTGGTAGTATATTCTTAAGTATTCGCACTTGTTGCTAAAAATACCAGAGGCCACTACCCCGTCAACTAATGACACAACACATTAATAGCTCCATGTTGGGTTCGATGGGAATCCTCCCAGTACTGACAATAGTTATTAATATATTTACTCACTTATTTTGCATTACACAATGTAAACTACTCTAAAAATTTTGCACAAAATGAATATTTAAGACTAAAAGAATATGATTTTAAAATCTATTAGATGATAACAATATTCGTTTAAATATATATATTTTTAAGAATCACTCGTTTGCTCTATATGTAAACGAATAAAAAAAGTCAATGGAGACAGTTGTGTACTTTTGAAATGTTGTAATATCTATGCATGTAAGGATTGTATCAGCTTTAAAATGAAAGCCAGATGTTTGTGTGGAAAAGACTTAGTGGAAGGTATTTTTACTTATTTTATTTTTTAGTATGTAATAATTGGTACGTCAGTATCAATCAAATTTATTCAGACGGATTAAGTATTTTAAAGATCATAAGCGTTTGATTTAGATATACCTAATTTATTTCCATAATATGTAATATTATGTAAAAAAGAATAATATAATATTTTACTTTTTTCATTACAAAGAATTTTTTTTTTAAATTAATGAAAGTTGATCAGCACGGACAATAATTATTAATATAGTTTATTATCTTATTTTGCGATTTACATTGTATAATATTCTAAAAGTTTTAAACATAATAAATATACGACATTAAAGAAATATGATTTTAAAATCTATTCGATAACAAAAATTTTTTTTAGCAAATGTCGTTTGCATGAATTGTAAATACATAAGACAAGGTGATAATGGGAATTTGTTAAGAATGAAATGTTGTAAAAAAAAATTGTGTGAATTTTGTCTCATTAATGACAGGAAAACTAGTTCTTGTTCTTGCGGAGAAGACTTAATGAAAGGTACTTAATACTTATTTTACTTTTTTATCGCAATTAAGCTTAGGGATTTGCGTCTAACGTCGCAATATAACTCACACCATCACGTTGTAAATCAGCCTGAAGTTAATCAAGAGCTGTTTCACAACGTAGTGTACCCTCCTCCCGTTAGCCGGATCGCACAGTGGGAACCTTGTGGGAGGGTTGGCAAAATAACTCACAAACAAATAAAACACTTAAAGCAAATTTGTAAGACGCTGGTTTAGGCCAGCTGGCGCTCAGGTGGATGACCATGCTTCGGTGGCGGACTCGCCTTTCGGAGGAAACGACAAAATGCGAGTGTACCAGGTCCCTCATAGAACCCAATCGGCTAGACAGGTGGATGGACCGGACTCACGGTGAAATGACTTATCGTCTCAACCAAGTGATGTTCGGCCACGGCTACTTTAACTTGCACCGTATTCGTAAAGAAGCCACGCCGACGTGCGACCACTGTTCAGATTGCCTGGGAAAGGCTGATAGTGCTCTACACACCCTCTTTCGATGCGAGGCGTGGACCCAGGAGCGGAACTCTTTGGAATCCCGATTAGGGTTCACGTTCCGAGTCGGGTCCATGATGGACCTGATGTTGGTTAGCCGGGAAGCGTGGTTGCTCGTCCAGGCGTTCGCTGAATCCGTCTTGAAAAAGAAGGAGGAAGCGGAACTTCTGAGACTGAGGCAGCCATGCCACCTGGCACAAGAGGACCTGAGGTGCTGTTTTAGGGCGGTACCTCAGGTTCTTGATTTTTGTCTTGTGAGTTATTTTTCCAACCCTCCCTAACGGTTCCCACTCTGGGATCCGGTTAATGGGAGGGAGCTAACCACGTTGCGAATCAGCTCTTGATTAATTTGGGGATGATTCACAACGTGGTGGTGTGAGTTATAGAGACGGCGTGGGCCGCCCTGAAGTAATGCCTCACGGCAGTTCCAGATTGACCAACAATATTGCAGGTCAAATAAAAAAAGGAAAATAAAATCTTTTTCAAGAGGAATGCCTGGACGAGCCTCTGCGCCTCCCGCTCCCCAACATCAGGTCCACCATAGACCTGACTCGAAATACAGACCCAAGTTAGGACTCCATGGAATCCCACTATTGGGCCCACGCCTCGCACCGGATAAATGTGTTCAGAGCGTTGCCTGCCTCTCCCCGGCGATCCGAACAGTGGTCGCACGTCGGTATGTGTCCAGTCGATCGGGTTCTAGGTACGTCGAAACTTTTCGGATCGCCGACCGTCTCTGCACCCTGAGCGGGGCTTCTCGGTTTTCATACGAATACTATGGAGTATATGCCCAAACCGGAGACCCGTACAAGAGGACCGAGTGTACGACGCTGACTGAAAGTCTGCTCCGTATTTTCTTCGGCTCTCCCAGATTGGACATGAGTCCCGCCAGGCTTAGTCCACTACCTCCTGCTGGTGGACTAAGCAGCAGGTGACTGAAGTGAGCGTGCAGTTCACTCGGCATCCAGCCTCCTCAGACGATGAACCTTCCGCCACCCTCAGCGTGTCCTCCGCGTAGTAGATGACGCGCACTTGCGGTGGTAGCGGAACGTGGAACATCGCATCGTAAGGGATATCCCACTTCCCTCGATCCGTGTATATATAGGGAAATTCACAAAAAAATTACAATTTTTAAAATAAGTAAATTTTGACATTTTTTTTACTTAGAACTTCCATAACTTTTTCAAAAATTAACGAATCAAAGTAATTTTTTTTTTATAGAAACCTAAGGTATTTCTCTTTTATTTGATATCAGTTTTATTTAATTTAATGAAGTCCCCTTAATTTAACTTAACTACGAACTCTTTTTCTTGTGTATTCAATCTTCAATGGACTCATGTATTTTGTATTTGTTTCTCTTCCAAAAATAATTTTCCATTAATTTATAAGGTACAGGAAACACGGTTTTATCTAAGGTTATCCTATTTCATTGTAGTTATGTGACAACTTGTAATGAAGTTTTGGTGAACATCAACAAATCAGCAGACATCAATTACAACTTTAATTAATTGTCTACAACTATCTTCATATTTATTTAATATTATTATGGCATGGTTCATTATAAAAAATATTTTTTTTCCTTATTATTTAATTAATAATTATGAATAATAATTTCTTATTGTTTTTCAAAAAATATTAAATTGACATCAACTTTCAATTTTCCATTTTTTTTTTTAATCCTACTGACAATACATTTTCTCGTCCAGTAGATTGGTGACCCTCGTTTTTCTATATTTTAGAGCGCCGTTAAAAGTTACAAAATTTATCTGTTGTGGCCAATTAATTCGATTTTTTTAAATATATTTGTAATATATTCAAGTAATTTAAATTTAATCACTTTATAATAAAATTTTAACACAATAACTTTAGCTATCCATCGGAATAAATGATAAGCCCCTGGATGGTGAAATCTGATTTCGTTCGTTGGTGTACCTCTACAAAAATTGAGACTTATTCTTAGAACTTTTTATATACTTCTCTAGGAAGATCATTAATAAGAATTTCAAAATAATATTGAACAATTTCATCTACAGTGTCTTTTAAATTTGAATTAAATCAAACACTTCGTTGAACTAAGTTAGATAGTAATTTTGAAATCCGATTAAAAACAAAAAATTTTTAATTTATTTTTCTTGTATAGTTATTGGAATATTTATGATTATCTACAACTTATGCTACTAAATATTATTTATAGTCTATATTTAAAATTGTAAAATAATTGTCATAAAAAATGCAACTTAATATCTCTCACTTTCAGGGATGGATTTTGCGCATTGCACATTACATACGTAATTCAACAGTCATTTATTTCTTTTTTATGTATACAATTCAATAAGTTAAGAACGATACAGTATTATTCATTTAAATTTAATATTAAATTCTAATATAATGAATATTAATCTAATTTTCATTTTATACATACAGGTAGGTAACATCAATTAATGGGTTAAAATAATCTTGGGTACTTTTGAAGTCCTCATCATCAAAACCTTGAAAAGAAAATAATATTTAATAATTCTTGGTACAATTTTATAACGTATTCTTTACATAGAGTTTTTCGTTAGGAATAGCTTGTTTTGTATAGTTCACTTAATATATTCTAAAACTATTTGACACATTATTTAGCAGAGTATTTGAAAAAAGTAAGGTTTTGCATGAATCGATACTAATAAAGCTTGTTATCCCTGAGTTAGAGCTGTTGAATTACTTTCTGTTTTAAATTTTTATTCCGTTAAATCGCTCTAAAATGTTTGATAATTTTTAGGTGCTGTATGGCATTAAATCTTTTGATAATTCCCACTTTAGTTTCACATAATTTACAAAATAAAACAATTCCAGTGGATAATAAAACATTATTAAATCCATTAATGTAACTTTCAAATGGTCTGCTTATTGATTGTGATATTTTAGGCACTTTTCACTAATCCAACAACGCACGGTAGAAAGTCGTTGGTTACTACATGATAGTTCAATTGCCTATGATGTAGGTCCTAAAATTTAGAGAAATATATTAAAAGGTTATCAACGAGTTAATCGAGAAGTAAACCAGAGATCAATATGTATGATACATGTCTAACCGTTTGGTCAAATTATATAAATAGTAATATTTTGACAATTTATTTCGTAAAAAAAAAAATCGACATTTTTAAATTTAATTCAGGTAAAAGCACTGAAATATTGAAAATTTCTAATGAATATTTTATTAATAAAGATTAAATAACTGAAAATTATGCAAAATAAAAGTTGGAAATTTGATTGAGCATTACATTAAATTTAGCTATATTTCACTTGCTACTCTTTTTTCTACACAAAAAATGTATTTGCTACAAGTCCTTAAGCCTAATTATAAGCAATTGATATAGATCATCCTAATTAATTACCAAAATATGCTAATAATTTATATATAATACAAGTAATATTATTATTATCATTATATTATAATTAAATGAGATATGAGGACGGCTGATGGGAGTATATATGATGTGGGTGATCGTGTCAAGTGAAAGTTTATGTAAAGGGTGGCCAACCTCAAGTTGTTGGAATTAAAGCGAGAAAGAAAAAGATGATGATAATCATTATATTATAATATTGTACCCCTTTTGCTTATGAAGAATTTTTTTTTTTTAATTTTTGAGAGTTGATCGCCCATTTTAAGTTTAATTATGTGATCATTGTACTAAAAGTAAGTCTGACTAATATTTTAAAATTCGAAACTAAATTTGATAAGATTTTGTTACAGTATACATATACTTAGTATACATGGTTTGTACAAACTAAATACGTAATATTATTATGAATAACTTAACTGAAGAATACGTTCTAATACAAATCTTCTTCTTCTTCCTCGTCTTAACCCCAACTACTTGGGATCAGCCACCCTTATCCTAAACTTCTATTTGACACGATCTCCCATATCATATACGCTCACATTAGCTGTCCTCATTTCGCATTCAATAGCATCCCTCCATCTCTTTTTTGGTCTTCCTCTACCTATTCTTCCTTCAACATTCATTTCTATAACTGTTCTTATAGCTTCCGATTGTTCTCTTCTCATAAAATGACAAACCATCTAAGTCTATTTCCTCTCATCTTATGCACGATAGACGCTTCACCTATACTCCCTCTTATATGCTCGTTCCTTATTCTATCTTTTCTAGTCACTCAACTCATCCATCTAAGGATTCTTATCTCTGCTACACTCATTCTCTGCTCTACTTTCTTATCAACCACCCAACACTCTGAACCATACACTATAGCTGGCCTTATTACAGTCTTGTAGAATTTACCTTTCAGCCTCATTGGAATTCTCTTATCACATAAGACACCAAACGCTTCTCTCCACTTCAACCACCCGCACTTAATTCTGTGTCTTACATGCTCGTTAATACCACCACTATTTTGCACAACTGACCCTTAATACTTAAAACTCTCAACTTCTCCAATCACGTCCTCACCTATTGTCACTGAACTCCTCATTTCACCTACTTCGTGTTCTCCTTTGTCAAACTCGTACTTTTTTACTTCTACTTATTCTTAAACCCTTTTCATCAAGAGCTCATCTCCACACCTCTAGCCTTTGATTATTTTCCTCCCTATTTTCTCCTATTAACACTATATCGTCAGCAAACAACATGCACCACGACACTTCTCCTTGTATTTCTCTAGTAATTTCATCTATCACTATAGAGAATAAATAAGGGCTTAAAACAGAACCTGGTTCACTCCTAGTCTTACCCGAAAACCTTCTGATACTCCTGTCACACTTTTTACCCTAGTACAAGTGCCATCATACATATCCTTTATTATATTAATGTACCTTTTCGAGACTCCTTTTCTCATTAATGCAATACGTTCTAATACAAATATTTCACCAAATTAAACAAGTCAAATATATAAGTAAATTAAATATAAAAATGTTATCAAAGTTTAAAAATATATGTAGAAGTAATAGATCTTACTAAAAATTTATTGATGAATGGTATTTTGAAAACTAGAATTTTTATTTCACTCCAGTAAAATTAAATGTAAACATTAGTGATCACGAATTTAATATACACATTTTTGATTTTAATAATTCAATAATAATAATATTGTTTTCAATTTGTGCACATGTGATAAGCTGTAATAGATGATTATTTTTATTCCTTATTAATCAGTCCCTCATTAAGGAATAACTAGGCATTACTGATAAAACCGAATAGTAGTAATCTAATTAAAAAGTTTTTGCAGTGACTAAATTTAGAATTTTCTTTGAAATAAAAATAATATTTTTATGAGTTGTATTATAATTATAATAAAAAATGTCTTTTAAAGGTTTGATATTGCTCTTTAGGTATTCCTTTTGAAAACGTCCGAAAATGTTCGGAATGTAAAACAAATGCTGGAATGTATTGTATTTCCTATGGTAGTCCGCAAATATTATGTGAAGATTGCTTTACAGCCATAAAAGTTAATTATCATGGCAGATATCGCTATTGCAAAAAACGGGAACCGAAAAATGCATCAAATTGCTAATCAAACATAACACAATAAAAAATAACTCACTGTTTGAAATGTTCTAGATATTTTGATTTATTAAATATTTATATTACCTATAATTTTGTTAATTAAATATTATAATTATTCAATTTTATGTTAGCTCAAAAGTAATTATTAATTTTTATAAAGTGCAATTATAAAATTAAATTACTGAACTTGAATAAAACAAAACACTTTTGGCATATCAATGTTTAATATATAAATTGACTGTTGAATTTCCCTTAATCGCCCATTAGGCAAAACCCGAATTTTCTTATCATTAACCGTATAGGTTAAAAAATAAAACATCTGATGATTTTTAAGAAAAATAATAAGTTAATGTCATTATTAAATTTTTAATTAAAGGCTTGAAGTAATTAGGGATTTGAGTGCTATTTTAAACAAAGTTGAGTTTTTAAAATTACAAGAATATTTTATGTTATTACAAATAGTAACATGATAAAATTTGAATGAAAAATTTGCTGTTATAGTGAACACTATATTCACCATGACAGGAACAGTGCATTTTTTTGATTACACAGTCAGATATAACATACGCGCCCTAATTAACAAAACAAAATATTAAATGTATCATTACCATATGAAATACGTTAATAAATATTAAGAGTTTCAAATTTTATCAAGTTACAATTTTTAATAATATAGAATATTATATTAGTAATATTAAAAAAATATACAGAGTGGCCCACCACTCACTGACAACTTAAATAACTTTTGATCCAGTTAATATTTTTAGTTGATTTTTTTTTAAATAATAGTTAGACGTTAGGTCTATAGCTATATCTCAATAATTAATTTTTTTACATTTTATTAAAAATATTAATTATTTTTAAATTTTAAATAAAATGTAAAAAAAAAATCTAAGATAGCTATTTTGTAAAGTAGAATTTAAGAAAAATCTTAGTAAAAAAATATCTTATTAATATTCAGTAGTAAATATTCTGTAGCGTTTTGAAGTTTGT